ATGGCCCACGGCGAGGAGAGCAGGGACACGCGGGTGTCGCGCGTTATTAACGAAGAAGGGCGTCAGCCCAGTCGACGCGTGTACCGCGTTGTTCAGAGCGAACTCGGCCAGTGGCAGAAACGAGCTCCAGCTGGAGAACGACGTCGCGTAGCCTCGAAGGACGTCTTCGAGGACGCGATTTACGCGCTCCGTCTGGCCGTCCGTTTCCGGATGGGCTGCTGTGGACATCATTAGCTTCGAGCCCAGTAGCTCGAAGAGCTTTGACCAGAAGGCCGACGTGAAGCGCGGGTCGCGGTCGGAGACGATAGATTCGGAAAGGCTATGATGACGGAAGACAGCATCGAGGAAGTGCACCGCGGTATCTGCCGCGGTGATCGCATCCGACACCGGAATCAGGTGTAACGGGCCAGGTATTTACTCCGTTACTTGCTTACACTATAGTGTTGAGGAAGCTCGCAATAGGACGACTGAGTCTTAGGTTTAAGAAAAAATCAACTCTGACTATATTTTAGGACCAAGGCCACAGCCCTGGCCACTCAAATACACGTCATAGTCCAATTGGCTAATAATGGGTCTGGCTCCCCATATATCAGCCAATGGCATGACAGCATTTCAGCACACGCTAGTCGTGTGCTGATGCACCTACTTTTGTAAAGAAATCTACCTACTTATGTAATGGAGGGGCCCATTACAGATCGCGAATTATCGCGTCGCTCAACGAGGAAGAGTGTAAGAGAGAGTAGAAGCTGTGTGAGAGCTGTGGAGTGTCGTGCGTGGAGCGTCGGGCAGCTGCTCCGAAGCTGGACCTCGAGATTGGGTTGGGTACGTATATCGTGTGGCTCAGGAGAATGCAGAATGATGAGATTAGAAGATAACACAACAGCATGAAACCCTTGTTAAATCTCAATCCAATCTTGACGCGATGTCTCTGAGAAAATATAATGGGTCATTGACTAGAAGGCCAAACGCATAATCGATCGCTTCCCAGACAGCGACGAAATTAGCTGTCAGAGTAGAAATAATTCGAAGAAAAGTCGACCTGATAGCACAGCGACCTCCGATAAAATGAAATTGGCTTAGAGCGCGCGAGCACGTGATCTCATGGCGATACGTACCGATTTTTTTAATTATTTTTATCGTATCACGTTTCAACCTGGCCAGTACATGTATATTAATGGACATTACAAAAAAGCAAGTCTAATAGTTTCGGGTAAAACCACTACATGCTCTTTGCTCTAAGAGCATCTGTGAGAAAAAAAATAAACGCAAATCCTTTCCGGACCAGAAATGTAAACTCGTGCAGGATAGCTTTGCTCATACACATACGCGAGGCCAGAAAGTACGGACTTCTGCGCTAAATGCCTTGATCAAGAAGAAAATATTAGGAGTACACACGTATCCTTGAAAACACACACAGATTCCTGTGCAATCGACATTCAAATCCAAGAGATTGCAAACTAGCGGTAAGGGTACTCGCCCAGATCGTTTGTACCTTCTGTGGACAAGTGCAGCTCAAAACAGGGGTCTATCTGCATCCCACTTTCCAGAACACGGTGAATTCAAGTTCAATTATTAGCCAGTATTAGTCCTGTCAGTCATTAGTCAAAAAGGGGGTTGAAGCAACATGGTCAGCGGAAACACTAATGAGGGTGAAGACGGATGTAGAAACTACGTGAACATGAAACAAGAGCTACGTGAGAAGGCGGCGGAAACCGTAAAGGAAATCTTGACGTATTCGGAGCGGGCCAAGCGCGGCAAGAAGCAGAAAGCGCGCTTAAATCCGTACGAAGTCCAAAAGTCACGGAAAATGAAGCACAGGAAGCAGCGTAAGCCCGTAAGGGACTCTGCCCGTGTTTACAACGCTCGGACCATGAAAGCTATGCTGGCTAAGGCTTACCTACTGGTACCGGGAGTTCGTGAAGCACTGGAGGAGTTCAGACGCCACCTTTCAGGCTACGCCATCGACCCACCACCTCCCGAGGTCATCGTCATTGACGACGAAGAAATTGACTTGTGGCCAGAGGGGGTGGACTTTATAACTGAATGTACAAACGAAGAGGAAATTAAGTTTGGAGATCTTACTGATTTAGGTCCCTGTGAGTGCGAGCGATACTGCTTTTCTGACACGTGCACGAATGCATTGGCTGGCGTGCTCTGTACATCGGAAAACTGCCCCCCTGAACGGCTGCTGTTCCAACAGCATTTATGAATGCAAAGACTTAGAGCTGGTGACTCGTGACTGCGCTGGATCAGGAGTCCGTGCCACAGCCGTTATTAGTGCTGGTTCCATTTTTTGGTGAATACACTGGAAGACTAACTACGGAGGACTTGAAGAACGAGAAGGGGCCTAGGAACAAGTACGCGTTGGGGTTGCAGCTAAAAAGCACCCGACGCAAAGGCGTGTTTATTGACGCGGCTCATATCACTCGGATGATGAACCACTCTTGCGATGCTACGTGCCAGTTTTTTTTAGGTTTGGAACCGCCGTCAAGTGAAGGTAGTAGTCGTGGCGAAGCGTAGGATTGGTGAAGGCGAAAACGTCACGGTAGACTACAAGTGCGACCTGTGGTTTACCTGTTGTTGTGGATCTCGCTACTGTGTTGCTGGGCAAGCGTCACAAAAAAAGCGGCAGTTCACGTGAAAGCGCATCAAAAATGCATCTCAATGATGCTTCTACCACCGCCGAAGTCTACATATTGATGCTGAGAGAGACAAAAAGAGAAGACGGAGGAGGATAGGAGGATGGCAGGTAGAAGGAAGAGATGGGTACTGATACTAAAAAATAGAAATTTGAGATCCTGTGTCGTTGCTTTATAAGATGTTAGAGTAAGTGTTAACACCACAACGACCATAGAAACAGTAAGAAGCGTAGTGATGAATAACCACTTGCCGCTATGGCTAGAGATACAGTTACAGAAAAAGCGGTGTTTGACGAGATTCAGGAGATGTTAATGGTGATGGTATCGTGTCGAAGTCAATCTAAATGTCAGTATTGACCGTGAGAGTGCGGAAATAAATTATTATTTATACCGCTAGTCTACTGAAAGGCTAGTGAGTGAGCGTTATTCTGAGAGCATCCTGGTGGTACAGCGTGAGGTAGTGGGGAAGTTGTGCAGGCATCTGGGCCTTCCCTCTCTCTTCGTCTCTTGAAAGTTCCTCGGTAAACCATTGTGCGCTTCCCGGTAACTCTCAGAAAACCACTGTTGTGCATGGCAAAAAGCAAGTGAATGCACACAGCCACACATCTGTTGATGCAGATTGACAGACCAACCCCATTCCGTCTGACCTTCAATCCCCATCCGAGCGTAGTTAGTTCCGAGCTGAGCAGACACAGCATTTCCCTCCTCAGTGCGATTTTTCCAAGGCACGAACATTCGCTCCGTTTTCTTCGTCACAACAAACTTTAGTCCTGCATGGGCCAAATGTTCGAGACCACACTCAGGACCAGGAAACACTTCATATAGGTTTCCAGCTTTCTTCAACTCGACCACGCGTCGTTTCAGCGACGCGCTTACCTCGATCACGTTTCGAAACTCACGACAACTCTCGGAGTCATGACCACAGCATGCGAGTAATTGTAACAACAGCGCTCCTAGCTTCAGTCGCGTACGCAGAGTGTAGTCGCGCTTAAGGACTTTGTTGAACTGCTCGGCGGGGTTATTGGTAGCGGCAAAGCCAATTGGAGTGCCACCTATGAAATCTTCCCTTCAGCCACTGCGCCATAATATATTCAGTGAATGATGAACGTCTGAGCCGGTCTATCCAAACGCCTAAGCAGTCGCTTAGTAGTGATACCCACGACAAACGGTTTTTTGTCAGAACCATCGCCTATCGAAACGCGTCGATCTTCGCTATAGTCTGTCGCAAATGTGAATGCAGCCGTTTCTGGTTCTGAGCCCGTGTAGGCACGGTCATGAATTACTGTTTCCATGTCTTCAAACCAGTCGTTGTTGTTCATCTTCGTCTTGCGAAAATTGTTTGTGAAGTTCTGCACCATAGACAGCGGCGGTAACAAATTTTGACTTAACGGCAGCTTGCGTCCCATCGAATGTCGAATGCGAGAAGGCGTTGCGTGAATATACAGAGCAATCGCCTCGCGAATGATAGCCTTGTGCGCGGTAGTTAAATGAGTTGGCGCAAGGTCCCGGGCTCGATTTGTGTTGTTGCCACATTCAGCAATGCATGTAGCACCTGAAACCGAGCATATTAGCACGCGCCCTCTCCACAGACGTTTCACCCCAGGTGCAAGGGAATCGCAGCACTTCTTCGAGCCACACCTGAGCAGTCTGTATCGCATTGTGTGTGGCCGCGCGACATCACAAATATTACAGCACACCAAATTGCTCCTGGTGATGACATATCTCTTTAAAGTAGCTAGGAACTCGTCAGCCTCCTCCTTCGTCACGTTATCGGCATCCTCGATCCAATCGAGCGCCACCATCCTGCCCGGGAGGCCTCATGTCACTCGGAGATCTGGTTCAGAAATGGAATATCGTCGGCTCAACCCTTCAATCCTCGCTGCTGATTGGCTGAGAAATGACTGGTGTGCCAGATCTGGAGAATGATGTGTCGATTCAGCAAGTACGTGCGCTGGTCTGGCTTTTTTGTTGTCGGCCCGCACCTGTGTGTGTTTCCACGAATCGTGTGTGTGATATTGTGTTGTCTTGTGTGCGGAAATGCGATTTGTGTGATCTGACCTAAAAACAGTGTGAAATCTACGCGTGTCGCCTCCTGCACAATTTTATATTCTGGTCACAAAATATATGCGCATAATTTTACGCAAATGCCGGTTCTGATTTGATTACATCCCCACTATTGAGAGGTGCATAATACAAGTCCATCCTCTGCCGTACTATCTGATAGGCTCAATCTTAACCAATCAAAATGCAACTTGACACCTTAGCGTAACTGGCAAGACAGAAACTATCTGGGCAGCTGAAGCACAGTCTCAGGTTCTGCTAGAGCGGCTCAAATCTCTCTTTTCAGTAGCGGAATAGATTATGTCCGGTGTTGAGCAGCCGCTGCTCTCCGTCGCCTCTAGCAATGGCGCTGGTTCGTGTCAGACGCAATCGACGCAGCGCACAAGATTTCTGGATCGCCGCGGTCGCTTCAAGCAGTCGCTCGGCCGCTTCAAGTGCGCGCTGCAATTTGTCTCCCTAATTGTCGTGGCCAGGATTTCAGCAATGCTGATGTGTCTAATGATGCAGTGGTCTACCGCAAAGGTGGCGATTGGCGCAAGATTTACTGGGACGACCCGTTCCACACGGTGATCAACACACGCACGTCGAGGATCATCTGGGGCGTCTTCATTGCGGTGAGTGGCGAAGCTGTGTTGCTCGCACGCTGGGGTTGTCTAATGTGCTTATCTTCCGGTTTATGTTTGTTTAGTACTTCTTCATCATTTTGTTCTTCGCTGTGGCATATCTGGACGTGTCGGTGCGGCACCCGACGTGCCACGTAGGACTCTCGAGTATCATGGACGCCTACATCTTCTCACTCGAGACCATTGTAAGATTTTGATATCGTCAACTGAGAAGAATTGCAGTGAGAGTGCTAACAACGACTGCAATTTGGTAGATGACGATCGGTTATGGTGCCCCAACGGATGATATCTTCTACGGTGGGTGCACGTCAATTGCTACACTTTTGACTCTCGAGGTGAGATCCACACGATGTGCTGTTGAAATAGTGTATTGAACTCGTGGCCTGATAATTGGTCTGATTTTCGCAGTCTTTCGCTGGAATTATTCTGGATTCTGTATGCATTGGCATCTTCTACGCCCGTTTCTCCCGCGCCAATGTAAGTTTTTTTTTCTGTGTACCAGTATGGACTTACCAAAAAATGTGGTTTGTTTTGTAGCAACGGGCGAACACCATCATGTTCTCCAACTCCGCTGTAATTCGTAAGATCCGTGGACATTTCTACTTCATGTTCCAGACGTGCGAGCGACGGAAACACCAACTTGTGGAGGCCCACGTCCGACTGTATGCAGTACGGCATGAAGCTGAAGATGACACTGAGGAGCCCAACGACTTTCTTTTCCAATGTCACCAGATGCGAGTGCAGCAACCTGATGACGACTGCGGCGCAATGCTTCTTATGGTTTTACCACAGGTCGTTGTGCATCGCATTGATCAGTGGAGTCCGCTGTTCCCGCCCGAGTGTCTGCCGCACGATGATGGAGATTCCAAGACTTGCGCGAGCTACCCGGACCCAACACAGCGGCAAGTGGATATTGACAACGGGAGTCGCGACGGAGGACTTCCAGGGGCCTCGAAACTTTACAAGGAGCCCACAAAGATGCAGATCATGAACCACATCCGTAAGAGTGGGCTGGAAGTCATCGTGATCTTGGAGGGTATCGACAGCTCGACATCCAACACCATGCAGGCGCGCAACTCGTACACTGATGAAGACATCGCATGGGATGCAACTTTTGAGCGATGTGTCGTTAAGACCTCGAGGGGTCTCTGCATCGACTTTGATCGCTTTCACCTGCTGAAGCCGGCGCCACTGGACGCAAAGCGTTGTGTCATGTCGTCCCAGTTTTGAGATAAAAAAAAAATGTAGAGCACACCCAGTAGCTTTCTCTAAGCGATGATTATTGGTGGTACATTTAATGAAACAAGCAATGCAACGAAGCGCTAACCTGGTGCTATTCTCGTTAGCAAACTCCGTGTCGTACTCGTAGAGCTAGAACAGCAGGTGCAAGAAATAAATATCATGCCAACTAACATTTACAACCATCTACCACTTGAGAACACCCATCGGTACTTCGGCTCACGTCTGGCGCTGACGGTTTTGTCGACGAAGTCTTCGTTTTAGCAGATTGGCCTCTGTGAATGGATACAAGAAGAATGGTGAACTTCATAAGTTATCAAACAACCCGTGCGAATAAACCCAGAGCACACCGTTGATTCGACGCTGTTCTTCTTCAATATCAGTATCATCATCGTTCTTACCAGTTTTGCGGATATCACGACCATCAGCAGCACCCACTATTCCACTCGCATCATCCTTCGCATTGCATCGCGCCATCACCTCCGTCTCAATGTTCTTTAGAGAAGACACCTCGTCAGCCAGCATACGCTTTTCCTCCTCCAACGCGGCCACTGTAGCACTCTGTTTCGCCTGCAACTCCTCCAGTTGCATACTCTGAGCCGAAAAACGATCTTCCTCATCCAGAATAACACTCTCGGGTTCCGAAGGGTAATTTATCTCGCCCACCGCTCTCTCAAGCCTCGAAGTTCTCCAAATTTGGAGTTGCCACCTCTAACTGCTCCGACACCCAATGTACGTTCACTCTCCAGCTGGGCCACGCGGTCGTCCTTCTCATTGCATCGCGCCATCACCTCCGTCTCAATGTTCTTTAGAGAAGACACCTCGTCAGCCAGCATACGCTTTTCCTCCTCCAACGCGGCCACTGTAGCACTCTGTTTCGCCTGCAACTCCTCCAGTTGCATACTCTGAGCCGACAAACGCTCTTCCAGAGCACACTTCTGGCTCCGAAGGGCATTCATCTCGCCACCGGCCTCAGCGCTCGACGTCTCCAACTTTGAGGTTGCCACTTCTAGCTGCTCTGACAGCAATGACAGTTCACTCTCCAGCTGGGCCACGCGGTCGTCCTTCTCATTGCATCGCGCCATCACCTCCGTCTCAATGTTCTTTAGAGAAGACACCTCGTCAGCCAGCATACGCTTTTCCTCCTCCAACGCGGCCACTGTAGCACTCTGTTTCGCCTGCAACTCCTCCAGTTGCATACTTTGAGCCGACAAACGCTCTTCCAGAGCACACTTCTCGCTCCGAAGGGCATTCATCTCGCCACCGGCCTCAGCGCTCGACGTCTCCAACTTTGAGGTTGCCACTTCTAGCTGCTCTGACAGCAATGACAGTTCACTCTCCAGCTGGGCCACGCGGTCGTCCTTCTCATTGCATCGCGCCATCACCTCCGTCTCAATGTTCTTTAGAGAAGACACCTCGTCAGCCAGCATACGCTTTTCCTCCTCCAACGCGGCCACTGTAGCACTCTGTTTCGCCTGCAACTCCTCCAGTTGCATACTTTGAGCCGACAAACGCTCTTCCAGAGCACACTTCTCGCTCCGAAGGGCATTCATCTCGCCACCGGCCTCAGCGCTCGACGTCTCCAACTTTGAGGTTGCCACTTCTAGCTGCTCTGACAGCAATGACAGTTCACTCTCCAGCTGGGCCACGCGGTCGTCCTTCTCATTGCATCGCGCCATCACCTCCATCTCAATGTTCTTTAGAGAAGACACCTCGTCAGCCAGCATACGCTTTTCCTCCTCCAACGCGGCCACTGTAGCACTCTGTTTCGCCTGCAACTCCTCCAGTTGCATACTCTGAGCCGACAAACGCTCTTCCAGAGCACACTTCTGGCTCCGAAGGGCATTCATCTCGCCACCGGCCTCAGCGCTCGACGTCTCCAACTTTGAGGTTGCCACTTCTAGCTGCTCTGACAGCAATGATAGTTCATTCTCCAGGTGGGCCACATGGTCGGGTGTTTGGGGAGTAGTTTGAGTGGGAGATGATGATTGACTATGCTGACTTCGTAATTCCTCTAGCTCCTCTTCTTGAGCGCCAAGTTGTTCGGCAAGCTTATACTGAATGTCCTGTTGTGTAGCTGAGTCTTGTGCGTGAGCTTTCATCGTCGCTGCCATGGCCACTTTGTGCCGTGATTCGCTTAGCTGTTTTTCTTCATTCATCTTCTGAATTCGACCACGAAGTTGGTGGAGTTCGTGAGCCTGGGCTGTTATTTGCTTGGCAAGACATGCTTTTTCCTCTTGCAGCTGAGATAATTTTCCTTCCAGTGTTGGTGTTTCTTTCTCTAACAGATCTGTGGTACGCGGCGGGGTGGGGATTTTTGACGGCATTCTGCCTTCTCGAGGTTTCTTCAATGCAGACGTCGGTGTCGAGGGAATTAGGCTTGGTAAAGGGATACCACTTGCCGGCGTTGGAACATCGTTCCGATGCAATCGTTCCAGTGTTGACGGCACTTTGCTGCCTGAGCTTGGAGGGGTCATCTTCTTGTCACAGCTGGAACAAAGCCCTTTTTCTCCTGTCTTTGCTCGAGAGGTAACTCGCTGACTCTTATGCTTCAAAGTTTTCTTTGTGTGAGCTGCAGCATGTCCAGTCAGTTGTGATTTAGCTGTGTTTTTCAGAGATAGCGTATTCGTAATCGTAGCAAGATGCCTGCGCTTGGTAGTCTGGTGAATCGACACGCAACAGACGTCATCAGCAAGAAGCTGTTAGTACTATGAAATGCAATCGTAGTACCTGGAGTGATGTGTCCAAGCCAGCTTCTTTACGAGATCGCTTCAGATGTTTCTTAACTCCATCGGCTAGCAAATCATTTATTCTAAGAACCATTCAGCACGCAAAGCAATTAAAAGCATGATTTCTCTTGATAGCATAGCCATCCCTGTCGTACCTGTCAGCTTCATCAGGCCAGATTGCGATGTATTTCCTGGTCACAGATAAAAATTGCAGGTTAGTCACAGGGCCTCACGTGGGTCCCTTGCACACTCACCAGTAGCAATCGCGAGCTTTTTCTCGTCCTTTGGGAGACGCATCACTTAGCGAGGTCTACAACACAAACATGCGTCAACATCGAGCAATCGATCTCCCTTACGTCGCATCCAGCGAAGTTGTCAACATACTGCGATAGCCGACTGGAGCGATACCCTAAATCTCTCGAGGATAGCGCTATTCCAGCCTTCGAGTGCCAAATAGGTGTAATGAATGCAGCTTTGCCTCACTTCACGGTTCCTAAACCCACCAAACGCAAGTATGTATCAGCTCCAGGTCCATTCAGTTGCTTAAAAAAAAAATTGTCTTCGCACCTGCTTGTATTCAGCACTTGCAGCACCGGCGCAAGCACGAATCGACTTGGTGTAGACTGCATAATGGCCTCAATACAGCTGTGAATAGCGGCAGTATTCACCTGTCACCACAGCATACTACATATTAGCCCAACCTGCCAATACAACCCCGTCACCTGACTGTTTCTCACCTTGTTCGAGCCTCCTCTTGCGTCCAGTAGCGTGGGGAACACGTCGCGCACGAGGATCTTGCATCTCAAGGGCCCCAGTGCCTGTGCCAAATGTGATAACGTGGCGCACGCTTCCTTGACGACCGTGGAGCGCAGATCCGTCAATGTCACGCGGAAAGGCTGCGTTAGCGCCTGCACGTTTTCGATGGTAAAGATACTAGTACAGTCTTCGACTGCTGCAGTCTCTGGTGCATCCGTGAGCTTGCTCTGCAGCAGAGAAGCGTCCGAAAGTAGCGCACGCAGCTCCGTGAAGGCCGCGCACTTGTCCTTCCACTCCTCTTCGGGCTGGATCAAGCGCTTGCCCAGCTCCAACACGGCGTTTGTCTTGCCTCCGAAGGTCTACAGGCACACAATCGAGAGTGTTAGGCAAATAAGAGCGCACAAGAGACCGCGTAGACGTACCATGAGGCTCATGTCGGTGCGCTGATCACCCCGCATGGCGCAAAGAGTGCGGAATCAGAATGAAGGTCGTTCAATATATTTGAAAAAAAGCGCGCGGACTGAGCTCAAGTTTAGACCAATCGCATATTTGTGGTGTGACGCACCTCATCTATCGAAGGTACCCAAGTCGGTGTCTGAAAATGTTATGCTTAGTCAATTTAATTCGCCGAACATGACGACGCCAGCCAAGATCGAGGGCGCGGTGCCCAAGAAGGTGTACATGCACTACGAGGAAGGAAACGAGGCGCAGACATTGACGCTAAAGATGACGTTACCGTCGAAATGGGCTGGTCACACCGTCGACTACCTCAAGGAGGTATGTCTTCGAATGTTCTGGAAATTCACTGAATCGTAGCAGAACACTGACTGGGGCACTATTACTACGCGGCAGTTCTTCGTGGAGCACTACAACAATAAGAAGCCGGACAACGTGCTGGAAGCTACTCAGGTGCACCTGGAGAAGAAGAACAACGCGGTGCTCTTCGGTGATGAGCTGCTGCACACGGCCGTGCAGAAGTACGACGATCTGTTCCTTAAGGCCGGCGCCTCCACGCTCAAGCCCGCGCGCGTCCAGAGTAAGCGCAATAGTATTGATGATTTAGTAATGATATTGTGTACCTAATTGCTTTTTGGTATTGGAACTGGTGCAGAGAGTGCAGTCACCGCCACCTCGGACAAGAAGTACACGCAGTGCAAGAACCACGGCTGTCAGAAGAAATTCCTGGAGGAGGAAAACAACGACCAGGCGTGTCGTCATCACAGTCTGCCACCGCTCTTCCATGACATGAAGAAAGGCTGGCAGTGCTGCTCGTCCAAGATGGTATACGACTGGGACGACTTTGAGAAGATCGAGCCGTGCATCATCGGTCGCCACTCGGAGGTGGGACCCAACGAGCAATTCGCAGCGTCGCCCACCGTTGCGGCGGCTGAGAGTGCGGCAGCCAACTCGACCAGCGCTGCTGCTCCACCAGCGGCTCCACTCAAGTCGATTGAAGACTACAATCAGAAGAATCCGAACGCTGTGACTGCTGTGTCCGCTGCAAAGGACAGTCAGACGGTCCCTCCTCCCAAGCGGACGGACGGCAAGGCGAACTGCGTTAACTACGGCTGTCAGCAGGAGTATGTGGTGGCAGAGAACGCGGAGACGGCGTGCAAACACCACGCTGGCGCACCGGTCTTCCACGACGCCAGCAAGTATTGGAGCTGCTGCCCAAAGGACGTCAAGTACGACTTCGACTCGTTCCTCAAGGTGCCCGGCTGTGTCGTGTCCGCGCATACGGACGTCAAGACGGCTTAGATGGAGTAGAGTCAGTTGGGCAATGCAGTGCGTTGGCTGCTTGGAGACCCCAAGTTCCTACAAAAAAGGTGATTTCCAGCGACTGTTGTGAGGTCTACTTGCTCAGAATTATTTCCTGCCTTGCAGTGTAGAGCCATCTTGGTACTCACGTGTTTTTTTTTCTTCTCTTCTTCTTCTTCTTGTTATTCTCACTTAGCTACGTTGCTGTTGCTAGTAAAATTCTTCATCTACGCGGTTGATTTCGTCCCGGACGCGGTTGATCTCGGCCAAGTGTTTCTCCTTGAGATGAAGAACTTCAGCGATACGAGCGCGGTTGCGAGCCCACTCGTGCTCCTTGGCGCCTTTGACGATCTCGGCGACCTTAGCGAGGCTTTGTTCCCGCATGGCATCTTCCTGAGCCAGCAGCTTTCCGATGTGAATATCGTGAGAGCCGTTGATGGCATTGTTCAGAGCGTCTCGGTCGTTCAAGATGGCTCGACACTCGTCTGTAAGGTAATCATCGTCCTCGCCGTCGTCAGACGCCATCCTCTCGAGCAATGTAACTGCAAGCTGGCTCACGTTCTCGAAGAAATTATTCTCCAGGACTTCAATAGTCCGGAAGTGCTCGGTGGCGATATCTCGCGCCTCAGAGCCCACCGCGTCGATGGAGCTTTCCATTGCAGCGACCAACTCCTGCGCTATCTCCACGACGTCCGACTCAAGATTCATGAGCTCGTGGTGCAGTTTATCGCTGGAGACTTCCGCATCATGAAGTAGTTGCAAGCCCGCTGCAGATCCCGATCCGTCCGCGTCCGAAGCTGCAGCACTATGAGCAGAAGTAGCTTGCTTCAGAAGCTGTTTGGCTGTCCGACGGTGCGTCTCCACTGCGCGAATACTGGCCTCTTGAGCGTCAGCCTGGAGTTTCTCGTACGTCGCCCTGAACTCGTCGACCTCCTTGGTCAAGTTCGCGTGCCTGTCTAGTAGAACGAGCTTGACGTCTTCTGCCGCTGCCTTGGCCTTCTCCATGTAATCGTCGATGATGTTGCGCAGTCCTGGCAACACCTCAATCTTACTCATCTCGGTGTCCTCCTTGAACATGTCGGTCAACAAGGTCTACATGTAGATGACCAGGCCACGCACGTTAGATTCCGGGACATTGCCATGGCTACAAGTATCAATACCTCGAGAATGATCACGTTCGCGTCCTTGAGCACACTCAAGTATTTCTGTTGCTCCGCTTCTCTAGCCAGAGCGGCGTCCTCGATGGCTTTCACCTCCTTCAGCTCTTCCAGCTCATCCTGATATTGCTCTCGTGCTTGCACTGTTTCACTTCCGTCTACAAGCGCGTAGTCGAGATATTTGAGCTTCTCCAGATGAGCAAGTAAGAAGCTGAGCGAATTCCAGATTGTAAGCTTTCAGAACGAGGATCCCATAGAAAAGAATGAAACTCACGGGCGATACTCCGGGTCGGAACACACAGGATTTCCGGTTAAGTTGAGTATGCGCAGCTTCTCAAGACACTTCAGATACAGTAGTCCTTCCGTAGATGGCAACAAATTGTTTCCTATCGATAAAACCTACTCAGAGTCAGCGAGGAGATTTCGATTGTTAGAGGAGAATGTGACGATCTTTACCCACCTGAAGCTCCTTCAGTGTATCCAGGTTCTCGAGTTTCGAGATGCAGTTATTGTAGAGACTCAAGTCCGTCAGTTTGACGAGGCTTTCCAGGCCCTTGATAGCAGAAATGTTGTTGAACGACAGATCGAGCCACTCGAGATGCACGAGATGGCCGATCCCGTCGATCTCTTGTAGTACGTTGTTGTCAAGCTGCAGCTTTACAAGATGCCGCAGAGTCTCAAGATTTTCCATTTTGAAAATGTTCTGGAAAGACAGCGCCAGTGTCTGGAGCTTGATGAAATCCACGCTTTGATCGGCCTCATTGATCGCGTTGTTATTGGCAGGATCCAAGTCCGCACATGCCACCTTTTTGATCAACTCATCGCTGATCACAGCCACCTCTGCGTGCCGAACGCCCAGTCGATGCATGACACCAGGCAGGCCGTCGCGCTTGCACAACGGGTTTATTATTAGGTCCATAGTAAAACATGTCAACCCCCAAAAGTTGCAAAGTAGGGAAATCAGGCTATCTCGTTCTCGCAATCGCGGCTGAGTAGCGACTCACTCCGCTTTGATCTTTACCGTGGGGAATGCGATATAAAAATTGACCACCAGAAAGTAAATAGCATCACAGAATATGTTATGTTGTTGGGTTGAACTAGTAGTAGATAGTAGTATTGTGCTTTCTACTCAAAACTTGACTGCCTGATTTATTAATCACCCGCGCTGAATGGCCTATGAAATCGTTCATCCTACCATACATCATACGGAAACATTACATGCGACAGGTTTCCACATACTGCAAGCTCAGAGCAGTGCGCATCGGCAACGTTTCCCGTGTCAGCAAACGGTAATGGATCTCCGATCTAACGTCTCGCCTGGTAGCGCAAGAGGACCCCCACCAGCGGGTGCTGCATCAGCTGATGGTGCACGCTGTGGTGGTCGAACACGTGTATCGCCACATTCGGCCCGTGTATCTCCATATCCTGAGCGTACTCGGACGTCAACGGAGACTACACCGCCCCACCCAGGTCCAATACGACGGCGTACACCTCCAGACCGAGAAGCACTGCCAGCGACCACGACTAGGGCATACTCAACCCCGGGTCCAGTGTCATCCGCAGCCCAACGAGCGTCACTTCCTGGAGCAGCAAGATCACCTGGTGAATCAGCTCAAGCTCGACCTTCTCCAGCCCCTGGTACAGCTAGACAGCCGCGGACTCCACGTTCCACACGACGTCGAACATCACCCCGAGCTGCATCTCCTGTTGGTCAACCTGAGCAGCAGATACCAGCATCCCCAGCGGACGCTACTTCGCATCAATATCAGCTTGTGGTTCAACCTAAGTTGCAGCTAGTGAGTTTTGACCAATCATTTCTAAGTGTTGATTTTTCAGACTATCCATCAATCACCCTCGGTATCCAATTTTCACTGGAATTGACAATAGTAGTAGCAGCTTGTGGTTGTACTACTAAAGAACCTGGACAAGAACAGATCACAACAGTACTTTACACGCCTTACCGGTTAGGAACCAACTACCGCCTTCAATTCAGTTCTTGGTTTCTGACGGATTCGGTATGAGCCAGTACTACCGATATATTAGGTTCACGTGAGTCCAAAATGTGAGCCTTGCAATAGAAAAGAGAACCTGTCAATGGCTCTTGCTGAAAACTCGCGGTTCTTGTCCTTTCGCATTTGAAATTCCGAATCCAAAAATCCTCAGAACCCACTTCCTGATTCTTAGGGATTCTGAGTAATTATCAGAACCGTTGTTCTGGCTCGGTTCTTTTTAGGCGTGCTCCCAACTACCGCAAAAGTCGTAATGATAGAGCACCCATAGTAACTTTTAAATCTTTCATTTAGTGCGCAGTGGAAGGAGCTTGAAGTGCTCGCTGAAGACGCAGCAGCAGCAAGCGGTCGTTGCGCACCCGTACGTGGAGCCGATTTTGGCCAGAGTGTGAACCGTCAAGCGCTGCAGCACGGTGGAATTCTAAGCATTCAGCAGATGCAGATGCACGAGCTTGGCGCTTTGAGTTTCGGCATGGGTGTGCAGATACCTGGCGCGCACGGTGGCCTAGGTGCTGAACAACGAGCAGGAGGCTCGTCATTCCAGGCTGGAGGAGCGGTGTCACCGCCGCTGTACCCGGAATACCAGGCAGGCGCCTAGTATCAGGCGCACCGACCGCCTCTCTGCATCTCAATGCGATAGCGCCCCCGGCCAAGCAAATTAGGATCTACATGTGTAACGTCGACGAAAGCGAAGTTTACGAGGAACTTGGTAGCGGCTTTGAGCAGTGGATGCTACTGCTCTTCGAGCAGATTGAGCAGGCTTGTGAGTACGCCTGGACGGAGCGGTACAAGTTGAACAAGTTTGGTCGGCACTTGCGTGTAAACGTTGAGGAGTTGCTGACTAAGATAATCTCGGACCTCTACGAGAAGAGCGCGGATCAACTACGCTTGAAGATCCTCGAGAGGAGTTCACCTTGCCGACTCTGTCGTTGGAAGGGCCCTGATCCTAAGCACTCTCCTAAACGGAAGCAAGTCAGTTTCGACTGCTCCTCTCTGTATAACGACCGTACTGAAGCTCTCGGTTCAAACTGTTCCTCACGAGATACGGAGAACGGATTGTACGGCTATGTTAACGTCATCGCCGACGCCCCTGGGCCCAACCACAAGCCCGGTCTGGTGGAAGTACCGGGTGCTGCAAAGAACTGGTCGGCTGAAGATGAAGACGAGGTCGTCCCCCTCGGCAAGCGAGTGATCGGATCAGTGGGAGGCGTGGAAGCTCTATCGTGGGGGTTTATCGAGAACCTCCCGGCCCAACTTCTCATTGACTCTGGGGCCGAAGCGTGTCTAGTGCACCGGCGTGTACTGAAGCGTCTCGGTTTAACTAACACCTCTCTCCTACCGTACGTTGGTAGTCTGAACGGTGTGTCCGGGTCTACGCTCGTTATCGAAGGAGTCATCTACTAGCCCGTGACGTTGGGATCCGTCGAGAGGAGAATACCGTTTGCCGTCGTACATAAGCTGCACGTCGACGCCATCCTAGGCACCAACGCACTCAAAGACTTCAGAGCCGTGGTAGACTTGGATGCGAGCACTGTTACGCTGAAAGACACGGGTGAGGTGCTCCCCCTAGGATCTCCTCAAGTGGAGGAATCTTACCTGTCACATATCTCGTCTACTGTTCGAATCCGCCCTGGTGGACAAGCTCTCGTGGTCGCTGAGGTTAAAGGTCAACTGGTTGACGGGGCCACCGTTCTAATAGAAGGACTTGCCGAGTTGGATGACTCCATTAAAGTTGCTAGGACTCCGTGCACGGTGTATGACGACCGAGTGATCGTGGAAGTGTGCAACCCCTCCATCGAGGACGCCGTCATCAAGAGAAGTACTAGATTGGCGAGTATTATGGTGATCCCCGAGATTGCGTCTCAGCTAGGAAATGATGCGAGCAATAAACGCGAGGCTGTGCAGTCTGGCGAGACACAGACAATGAACCGGGAAGCACAAGACCAATGGGTACACTCTGTCATTAGCGCCTCTAGTACTACTGCCGAAGATGCGAAGGGATCCATACCCGGACTGGATCGAGTACTCAAGGAGGAGCTCAAAGTCGACTTGGAAGAGTCCAAGCTAGGGAGTGAACAAAAGGGAGTGTTCACGAAGTTCCTCCAACCGTTCAGGGACACGTTCGTCGAGACATCGATGCGCCCCGAACGTACGAGTCTACTCGAGTTTTCAATCGATACTGGAGACCATCAGCCTATGAAACAACCCCCTTACCGAGTGTCCAAGGCGGAAGGAGACGTGATGGAGTCCGAAATACAAGAGTACTTGAGCCAAGAACTCATACGACTCTTATCTAGTCCTTGGGCGAGCCCTGTGCTTATGATCCGCAAGCCTGATGGCGGAATACGGTTCTGCATCGACTATCGAAGACTGAACGCCGTCACTATCAAAGACTGCTACCCGATGCCGCTCATTGACGATATTCTGGATGTGCTAGTAAATTCTAAACTGTTCTCTACGATGGACATTGCGTCCGGCTACTGGAACGTCCCGATGGCCGCAGAGAGTGTGGAGAAGACAGCCTTCACTTGCAAATATGGCCTCTTCGAGTGGTTCGTGATGCCTTTTAAAGTGTGTAATACTGTCCCGGTCTTCGAACGACTGATGGAGACTGTGCTCGTCGACCTTAAGTGGAGGACTTGTCTAGTGTACCTCGACGACTGCGTGGTTTCAGCGAAGACTTTCCTACTCACCTGGTGCGACTAAAGCAAGTCTTGGAACGGTTTTAATCTGCTGGATTCAAGCTCAAGAAGAAGAAGTGTAAGTGGGCTCGTGACCAGGTAGCGTTCTTGGGACACATCGTCACTCCTTCTGGCATCTAGCCCAACCCCGAGAAAGTCAAGTCGGTGATGAATGTGCTAAGACCGCAGGACTTGCACACTGTGAGAGCGCTCCTGGATTTGACTAGTTACTTCAGGCGGTACATCCCCGGGTACGCGGCCATATCGGCCCCGATAGAGCGGCTCAAGCTGAAGGGAGCTCGATTCTTTTGGAGCGACGACTGCGAAGCCGCTTTCCTGTAACTCAAGCGTAAGCTGGTGGAACTCCTATCCTTGTGAATCCTGACTTTTCAAGGCGCTTCCATCTGTACGTGAACTCATCCAAACTCGCCGTGGGAGCGTACTTGATGCAAACCGTGGACGGGCGCGAGAGAGTCGTAGCCTATGCGAGCAAACTACTGGTTGGTTCTGAGAAGAACTGGGTCCATAAAGAGGATGGTACTTCGGAAATCGAGTGTTGGAATATTGTATGGGCCACGCGTAAGTTTCGCTGCTACCTGAATCGCTGCGAGTTCGACCTGTACACGGATCACAAATCCTTGACGTGGGTTTTAACGAAACTAACCGCTCGAGTAACGCTAAAGTGGCTAGGTGGGCCATGGAGCTGTCTCAACTGCGCTTCAAGGTGTTCCACAAGCCCGGTACTTCTATGGGTCATGTGGATGGTCACTCTAGACTTCACACCCAAACCATCAACGCAATCTCCATGGCGGAGCTACTCAAAGATGCTGACGACTCCTCCCCTGGTACCGTCAAAGTCAGGGAGACCGCGCCTCTCGACTCGACTCTACTCCCTACAGGATCCTTGCTAGAGAACACTGGCGACTCTAGTTCGGTCGTGTCACCCGACGAGGAAAAGACTACTGACCAACTCTTGGTGTCCCCGGTTGATGTGCTCGGGCTTCTACAAACTTGCTTCGTGGAAGAACAGAAGAGGACTCCTTGGATCCAATCTATGATAGCGTTCCTAAGCGATGGAGCTCTAGCTCTAGACCCTCAAATGCGCACTAAGATCCTGTTGATGGCCCCTAACTACTCGGTGAAGAACGGTGTGCTCATGCGTCGCGTGCACTTAAAAGCTCGAGCCGGACCCGCGTCTACCTATGAAGTACCAGTTTTTCCTACCTTATATATCGACAGTACTACATCATTGTCATAAGGATGTACTCGCTGCGCATGGAGGAGTTACATCGCCGCACGATAAAGTACGCAAGCACGCTTACTGGCACTTTTGGAAGAAGGATGTGGCCAAATATGTTCGAGAATGTACCGTTTGCGGAAGTGGTAAAGGCTATCGCCCTTGGAGGAACGACCTGATGCAAAGAATGCCGTACAAGAACTGTCTGGTTCCTTCTCTCTACTGCGTAGATGCAATAGGTGTCCTAGTGACCACTCCTTGAGGCAAAAAGTTCACTCGTCTTCGCCGACTACTTTACCCGATGGGTCGAAGCGTTCCTAGTGGCCCGCTTAGACACTGTGACGTTCGTGGAGATAATGGCGAACGAGGTGATCTCAAGGCATGGAGTTCCCGAGAAGCTGTTGAGCGACCAAGTCTCCAACTTCATATCGAGTTTAGCTCGGTCCTTCTACGAAACGCTCGGAATCAAGAAGTTATTTGATGCTGCTTATCACCCTCAGACTCAGGGCCTAGTCGAACGCTTCAATGGTACGCTGATTGGAATGCTAAAGATGTATGTCAACGAAGCTCAGAACGACTGGGACTTGTATCTACCCCGAGTACTTTTCGCGTACCGTTCGTCTTACCACGAGGCTCTTAAAGGCTCCCCTTTCTTCAGCCTGTATGGCCTAGACCCGGTTCTACCTCTAGACCTCGCGTTCCTTAGGACGAACAACGAGTGGAAGAGTAACGAAGTCGCCAGTTACCGCCGAAAACTGTTCCTATCACTTCGAGATACTAGACGCCTGGTGGAACGTCAACTCTTTAAGGCCCAGAGCAGACACGAACAACGGCTGAGTAAATAAGTGTCTGTTAAATTCAAGGAAGGAGACCCAGTGTGGGTCTATCAGTACTTCCGGGCTTGTCGCGGAGAGAAGACCACGAAGAAGCTCGCTTTCGCGTGGCATGGTCCTTACCGTGTAATTGGGACTGTGGGGGAAAACGCCTATCGAGTGGCCATCCCGACCCACCCTAACCGAGTAGTGTCGTCAATCGCTTGAAGCGTTTCCAAGGGCGGTGGAGCAGACCATTCCCGTCCGAAGTACCTGAGGGAGTGCGGACGAGTCCTGGAACCGACGACGACGGTCCTTTGTCGGAAGGAGATCTCCCGTCTACTAGCTTTGTGGAGAGACTCTTGATTGGAGGAGAAGAAACAGCCCTGACTGGAGTTCCCTGCCCGGTGATCAACATAATTGCTAGACGCAAGAAGAGCCGAGACGAACAGTTCCTAGTGTTGCTGGCCACCTATGAGACTCTTTGTAGGTCTCGGAACACTCTGTTGCCCACCTACGCTGCACTAATCAAGGCGCTTGAAGAAACCCGTCGTCGGGAGGAGGGCCTACCTGAATTACGTCGCAGTGCGCGGTTAGAATACGCTAACGCCGCTGTGGACGAAGAGGAACTACTCTTCTATGAGAGAAGAGTCGCGACGGACTGATCGATTGAGCCTGAGTAAACCCTCGACCCGTTTTCCTCGGAAGTGTTCTGAGGAACACTTCTTACTGTACTCTGTATATTTTTGGATTCAACGTTGCGAGTGACTACTCTACTATCTGCAGAAATGTAAAACCGCGGTTCCTAGATGAAGACCAAAAACGATAAATGATGGATGAATCGCGGATGAAAGGCAAAAGGAAACTTTGAGAACTACACTACTACTCCGACACTCGTCCGAAAGGGACGGTTGAAGCTCGGAGCATCGAACGTCTACGGGTTGATGACAACGTTGAGGTTTTATACGACTTTCAAGCGGCCGACCCTGACTTACTGGAAAACTGTACCAAAGACTACCCTGAAGCGTTCCCGTCGGACCTATCTGTCGAGTTGATGAACAACGAAGCTACTATGGTTCATATAATGAGGCAGCGTGGTGAGCCCGTTCGCCGAGGACGGCAAACGACAAGTCGGGGATGATGTCCCGTACCCGGGAACGAGAGGGGCATTCCAGGCGTCCTGCGGCTAAGATGACCCGAGGTCCTGTGGCGATTCCTCGCCCATCCGTCCCGTCAGGTCGGTACCCGCTAGACGCGGCGACTTGCGTGCCCCCTGTCGAGCCCGTTAGAGTTGCCCTATAGACGTTAATACGTACAACAGAGAATGGTTAGCAATTTTCACGTTTGCAGAAGCAGCGAGAGTTTTACCCTGAATAGGTTGGATGGCTGCCACAGCTTGCCGGACGCGTGAATGCGTTGGTACGAGAACAGGTGAACAGCAGTAGGAAAATCGGAACGATGGTGCGGGATTAGTCAACCCACTATATTTATGCTGGGAAATAAACAGATTGTTTAAAAGGCCATAGACTAACGATTAATGGATGTAGACGTGAAAAGTAGTCCTCTTTTTTCTCTAGCTTCCACATATTCGTTAGCAGAGCACTACCAGCCCACTAATCTCGTTCTGATATAGGAAGCCGCGAAGTGCTGATATCACAGCTTACCACAGTGCGCGCTGTCTGTCTGTCCATACACGAACCGGGGATAAGATGTTAAAGAAACGATTGATTGAGCGAATCCAAGAACAGGCCGTATTTGTTGATTGATTCGGTAATCTAACAGCTTTGCCAATACATCGACCATATCGGAACTTGCCCGTTGCCCTCGTCCTACTTAGCTACAAGCCATGATGATCATCACGCTTGGAAGCTAAGATGGCGTCAAGAACTTTGCGTACGATTTGAGCTGGATGCAGATATCGCACTTGCAGATGCTGCGGCTGCGAAGCCGAGTGACTCATGCCGATGAACTAACATCCAAGATATAATGATCTTATCTTAATAAAGCGACATTTATGCTGAATCCGCAATAAAGTAACTGTTGCAGATCACCGGTATACTGATTCTGACTATGGTTTTGAAGTTGGTGTGAGACGTAAGTAGATAAAGAAGGAAAGGAGGGCGAGAGGGATCAGCTGATAATTGGTTAAGAAGTAGTTAAGAATACAAGAAGTACCTAAAGGTGGCTTTTGCCGCCCAGTGACCAAGTCGACTTGCATCGACTTGGCTCCTACTCTGCATGTGCTAGAGCTACCGATCTGTAGTGATCGTGTAGCTTACAAGTGTAACAAACCGCTTTAAAGTTTTAATGCTCGATACTTACCTATCCCAGCCTTCGCGAAGCCCTACAGTCGTAATGATAGAGCCCTTTGGTGCACTGGCAATGAACACAATATTAATTTTTAAAGTTTCTTCAATATGGGACAATCAATGAAGTAGAACTAATTCCTTCGTAGCGCTCCGAGCCGTAGGTGATATCACCCAACATCTTTGACTCGAAGCGTAGCGGCACCTCGCTCTTCTAGGCCTTGTAGTCACCCTTCACATTTAGCTTAAACGATTTGATCGGGGGCGAGTTGATGAGGACCTTGGTGTACTCAGTCATCTCGCCGTCGTTGTAACGGCCAAGAGGAGTCATGTTACCTAGGGGGCGCCACGGGTCACTGGGGTCTCGGTGGCCGTTTGGTTGGCTTGCCGGCGGCTGACAAGGATTGTCAACTGGCACAGATTCTTCTTTGTTCGTTGATGAAAGTGTGTGCATACTTTAAGTAACATTTGGAAAAAAGCGCGGCCACCCGAAAATCCCAGCCGATGAGCGGATCAGTCGTTCAGTATAACTGTGCGACAGTGTTGCGTCATTGCTCAAGCTCGGACTTACTGCCACTGGGGTCGAAGCTTGATCTCGATTGGTCTAAATTTTAGAGCTCGTGCCTGGAACACCAGCTGCCACGTCAGTCGCAGGCACCGCCCTGATTGGGCTCATAACCAGTGGTGACGTAGGGTTCGTCACGGGAGGATTGCTCTCCATGTGTCGATCACTTCTAAGAATAGGTGTCATTTAAATGCAAATGCACTTAAAGATTAACTTTAGGAAAGTGATAAAAGGAAATGTGTAAACACGTATGTACCGGGCAAAACGCCGCGACAGGACCGCGGTGTCTGGTGAGGGTGAGCCACTGGCGTCAAAACGCAAAGTGAGGGAGCAACCTCCACCAGAACATCGCTGTTCTGCAAAAGGTAGATTAGTATACAAATAACAAATAGATCTACTAGAGCCTAGTAAAACGCTCTCTCATTGAGCACACCATCTTGGCAGCGCACAGCCAACGATGTTCTTGTGCCTACAGTCCTTGGTATAGTACGCTGTTATTGCACACATGGGTACGCATGGGAACGCAGTGTAGCCGGCTGTAGTGCATATGTAAGCTGCACTGCCAGGCGCATGAGTGTCCTTGGGATGTGTTTTGCAGACACTGTCAGTGGACGGTGGCTCGTCGACGGGGCACTGGACACTGGCAGACTGCACTGCACTGGCACTCGACACGCAGGTAAGTACACAAGCTCACACCTCACGGCCTCGACCTGTCTTGCAAGATCTGTTTGATCGCTATAAGCTGCGGTCGTCGCCATGATCGCACATTGGATGTCTAGCAGGAATACCGACATTGACGAAGACTGGTGCATCAAACATAGTTATGTAATACCGAATGTACTCCACTAAGTACGCGCATAACCTTGTTGCATTTTGAGGTTATATCTTACGTTTTGTATGCCTGGCATTTTTGCTTCAAATGAATCTCCGATCGTGAGTGTTTTCGGTGGTACTAGTCATTCGGTGGCGTAATCGCCATATCAGTTTCGCCTCACTTGACCTTATCGCTCCAGGTCACCCACCACCCATGAAGAACTTGTTGCAGCTTTCAGGTGCGCCTATATCAGACCTTCAGCAGCATTGCACAGCCTTACCTAACCTTATTTTCGCAGTGGTGTTGCTGGCTGTGACGCTTGTACCGTTCATATGGTACACGACCCTCATGCCCCGCTGGTTGTCGCAGTCGGGCGAGCGTAACTCCACCGTCTTCTACTCACAAGGCATGGGGCTCTGGCTGAACTACACGGAACACGTAGGTGACCCGAGATTCGACCCTGGGAACTCGCTGTGGGTGCCGCCCCAAGAGAGCGGGGCGGATTCCTACAGTGTGCAATGGTACGTCGTGCCCATCTGTGTGTACTACTGTACTCATGCTATTTGTTGCTATTCCTACAGTACTGCCCAGAAGTCCTTTTGCGCCAGTGCAGTGGGAGAGTTGCACAAGCAGTATTGCCAAGTGATGAAGGTGTATTGCGGGACAGCCATGACGTTTCTTCAGCTGATAATGTCCATGGTGGCGGGGTGCGGCGTGGTGGTGGCGATTTGGTCCGTTCATCTGATAACTACCCGGCACTGTACCATCGCAGACAAGTACCTTATGCACTTGTGTGTGCTCAATGGCATCGGCTGTCTAATAGCTGCGATGGTCTGGTACTTTTTCGTGTTTCAACTCATCATCGACTCGCCCTTCTACAAAGACCAATTCAACCGCTGCTCAGAGAACGACTCGGGCCGCACGTGTTGGCAGATGGGACTTTGTGTGTATTTCTTGATCGCTGGAGGCGTGCTGTACCCGGTGCTGGCTGTGCTGGTGATTACGCACGTGACGAACAAGTTTAGACGCTTCCAGCAGCTTCTGCGTCGGATGTACGAGACGGCAACAGTGGTGGAAGTTCCAGTTCCGGTGGCGGATATGAAGTCTCAGGTGCTGTCAAGTAGAAGAAATGAGACGCTAGAGTCGGCGGAGGTGGCGCTTGATGTAGAGGAATATCTGGAGTCGACCAAGCTGGCACCGCTAAAGAAACACCCGTCCGCTGTATTATCGCGAGATGTTTCCACAGAAGGTACCAAAGGCGAAGCGGATAATAAAAAGTAATTAGTTCGGGTATCAACGCAATTTGTTTTAGCAAAGACTAATAAAAGATTAAAAACAAAAGCACATTCTGTAAAAATTCAAGAGCTTAGTTAATTAAAGGCACATACTGTAGTAGAACATATTTTACGTTCCGTCAATACAATTGTTATTTGTCATCGTGGATTAAAGTTGACGACTTTTTGTGAAGTTTGTCGATAACTAATAATTTCTCATACAGAATACAAGTACCATTGATACAATTATTGGATTTTTGTTTTCGAGCAATCCATACTCCACATGGTTTGGAATGGTAAAATGGCTGTAGGAGTCACCCTGAGTCCCATAGTGGCGGTCTTTATACGGATTGGTTATTGGCTGGAGAAACGTTTCACCATTTCTCGCTTGTTTAACGTTGATTTCCATGTATTCTTCGCCCCTACGTTTTCATAACCTACTGTTTTGTTTATAAATGATAATTTAGCAAAAAAAAATCTGTTTCAATGAGTCAGACTCATTAAGTGTGTGCATTGCACTCTTTATTGTTGAGTATGTGCTGCTCTGCGGTAGTACACACATACAAACTGCACTTACGCTTATAAATCCTCACGGGAAAACGCACCGCTTGCCACGTTTCATTTGCTACACTGCCAAGTCGACGACGATCTTTACTTTTATAGCACATCAGCCGTATGATGTTCTTAATCTTGACAAATGCAGACTATAAATATTGTAAACTTGGGAACAAGTATATTATTACTGTATTTAACCGCGAAGTAATAATGGGATCATGACCAAAACGGCTTTTTGGCATCGATAGAGGCACTCGCTCCAAGATCCAGGTAAGAAGGGCAGACGAACCCAACCGGCAAGCCTCGTGAAATGGGAGAACAATGAAAGCTTTAAAAGACCTCAACATTGTTCTCGCTCTGCATTGAAAACTCGAAGTGAATCTGCGACGGCCACCACTGTAATCCAGATATGAATTACAGGCATCTATAGTTATTTTAATCTCTTTTAAAGAAATTTTATTCCTTCTTCCCAATTCAGAGCAGAGCATGGCAAATATTACACATGCACACGCATTTCTGTATCATTCAGAACCATCTTTTGTAGCCACTTTTGATCTCGTATGTGCACGTATCTTCACTTGTCAGGTAGTTTCTGCGCTCGTATTTGACGTAGAGCTCGCCCGATGGCAAGTGCTCGTAATAGATCCCGCCAAAGTCGATTTTGACACTTTTTTCGTCCGGTTGATCAGCCACCTTCTTTACCTGGCTGTTAAAACAGTCTTCCCGAGGCAATACGCCCAGCAACTTGACGGTGTGGCAGCCACTGATGACACACCCAGGCTGAGTGAACGTCTCCAAATTAACGACCGCTGACAATTTGGCTGGACGCTCAGCCGACTGCATCACCAGCTTAGCGTCTGTCGACACGTTTACAGGCACCACATTGTAGCCATATTTCACGTGGCTCACGCAGCCCACAGATCCGTTGGCGCAGCGCTCAGCGGCAAGTGGATCAAGAACCCACTCGAATGACGACTCAGGTGTCGAGCGACGCGAATCGGTTGCGCTACAGGTGGGGACAAGCGAGGCCAGGATAAGCAAGAGAAAGCGAACCGGCATGAATCGATCTTGGTTTTTCTGATTTTCTAACAAAATGTAAAGGATATAAAATGGCAATGTATTATATTAATAACAGTAAGTTATTGCTATTGTAAGTATTACATTTACAGCTAGTATTGATTGCCATTTTAATACTTCTCCAGGGCGGGACTCCCATATCACTTTTACTTAGCTTTTTTTTAACCCTGGCAGTGTTCAAACACCGGGTTTTACCTCTTAGGCAGGCTTATATCTATGGAAGTGGATAAAGTCACACAATGGGATCCACTTCGAGTCCGGTAATTTAGACCGAGAAACACAAATTCCGACAAACAGGAAAATAGAAAAACACTCCTTCCTTCCAGCTCCCCCCTCCTCCGTGTCACCCCCTCTCCCCCCTTTCACCCGCCCCCGACGATTTCCCGCCGTTCATTTCGAAACAGGACCAAATTCGACAAAATGGCGAGCGTCGCGTCGACTGGCTCGGGATCGGACGGCGAGAGTGAGCCTGCCGAAGCACGCTCTCCGGAGATACACGTCCCGGAATCGCGGAATACGTCTACGTGTGCTCCCCCGTTAGAGCAGCGCTGTTACACAACGTGGGGTGCATTTTTTTCGGCGTTGGAGCAGTACCAAGAGCAGACCCACCAAGTGTTCCGTAAGCGTACCTCTACAAGTGCTGCATCTAGGAATGCTGAATTAGCGAAGCGAGGCAAGCTGACAGAGACGACAAGAATTCCTGATTCGTTCGACAAATACTACCGGCGACTTTGTTGCACGCATGGCTGGAGTCGGCCCAGTCGGTCTACTGGCAAGCGCTCCAACTACTTTGTCAAGTCGACGGGGTGCGAGGCTCAGATCTCGGTTACAGTGGTGTGGTCAGGAGATCATGGTTTTCAAGTGAAGATAAACCAGCAGAACACGACGCACAACCACGGCCTCGGACCAGACAAGTATAACAACCACCCTGCCAATCGACGTATAGATGATGAAGAGATGCTTGATTTTGTCGACGAGCTACAAGCTGCTGGAGCAAAAAAGAAGTTGATACTTGCATTTTTGCGGCGTCGCTCAGGTACTAGTACTATCATTTGCTGTTTTTTATTGCTATAATATTGCTGAACTAATCTGTTTCATCTGGCAGGCAAGCAGGTAACCCTACGTGACGTGCACAACATGGTGCAGAAGCTTAAGGAACAACGCCGAGGATCTACTACTGTTGAAGCAAGGTTAGAGTCCAGCCTTAGAGACTTCTGCTTGCGAAAAGGAAACACGGCTACCATCTACGTGGATGATGACAAGTTGGCTCAAGTAATTACTTTCCAGACTCATCAAATGCGGCGCTTTTTCGAAGCTTTTCCTAAGGTTTTGATGATCGACGCGACTCACAACACTAACGACGCCAGATACAAGCTTTTCAGTTTCATGATTCACGACGTTTTTGGCCATGTAAGAGCGCTTCATCTATCTTTCACGTGTCTGACCGTCTAATGTTGCTCGTTGTGTTTGTTTGCACGGTGACTACTTGTGACTATTGTGGCTTGTTGACAAATGTGTGACTTTTGTGGCGATTTACTGCGGCATTGTGGTGCTTTGTGATTTACGTGGTCGCGTTGTGGCATTTTGTGGTTTTGGTGTGGCGATGTCGCATTTTGTGACTTTGTGGTTTTTGTGTGACTTGTGGCACACAGGGCCAATACGTGCAGCATGCCCTTATGGAGAACGAGAGTGCAGTTTTCTGATGAAGTCGCTTTTCGCCTAGGTTCAACTAGCGTTCAAGAACGTGTATGTGCCTTTCAAACGAGATATTGAATCAACCTTATGTGAAGCTGCATCTTATAAGTAGCCACGAATATGTCTGCATAACTAGGACTGAGGCGGCCGGCACGTCGTCTCCTTTAAGAACCATAAATGCCTTTGTCTTGCATGCGTGTTCGCGAGCTCGCGCGCCCGTTTTTCGATTCTCTTCATGACCATGCAGCATGCCGTGCTGCATGGGATAGCGTAAGCACTTCTCCACCATGTATCTGCTTTCATGAGTCCATCAGCAACCGCTACAAATCTCCGTGTCCGACCTGGAACCGCGTTGTTGGTACTGTTGGCAAGGCACGAGCTGCGCGGCCATGCCCATAAACATGCTCTTACGTCGACTCTGCGGTGGTCTTGACAGCGCTGTACGACTGGGTGATGCCCACATTGCATGGCTCTCGGGCACTTGGTCACATGTCCAACGCTGGATAGCTTGTTCGAGACCTTCAGCACGGCGGCACAGCCTCCATGCAAAGCAAATCACGTCGTGACGAGGACGTCCCCTTCCCGTGCTACTTGCATCTCGGACGCCTGTTTCCATCGTCTTCATCCGTCATTCCTCGCGCGTCCGCAGCGCCCGCGTCGCCTCTCACTGCGGCAGAAATCTGACTGCGCGAAGTTTTGCGTACAGTCGTGCAACACGACCATTAGCACATCATTCGCAGCACATTTCGGTATGCGCAAGCACGCGGCACGGGCTGAAATTTTTGAAATATATCGGGTTATTTATTTTGATAGTTTGCCCTTTTGTGGCTTTGTGACGCTAGTATTCGCCACACAAGACGGAATGCCGTGTCTGTGTCACTAATATGCGCTTAAGTACGAAGTCACACTCTTATTGTGTGACTCTAACACTGGTCTATATCTATTACTACATCATGTAGCGTTTTCTGCTGCCCTTGGGCTAAAATACTAGATTATCGGAAGTAAATACTTGTGCCAACAAGGGTAACTTTATTTAACTGGGACCTGGTCACCTGCTCCGCCAACATCTGTAAAGAACAATACCACTGCACTGGACATGTACTACTACTAACCTAAAAACTACTGTTGTACTACTAGTAATAGAAGTACCAGTAAAATAAATACTACTTCAAGTACGTACATAGTACTACAGTAGTACATGTAGTACAAACCTCGGAAATTGCAACTAGTACTGAAGCTTAATTAGAAGCAGCTCGAAGAACTACTACATGTAGTACTACGTAGTAATTCGTGTACAGTAAAAGAATTCTAACGTATTGTACTGTAGTAAGTGCAAGGTAGCTGCCGTTCTTAATTAAGCCAACGCTGTAGCGCTCTTGCCGTGCAGTAAGCGTTCATCAGCTTTAGCTGATTCTCCTTCTTCGATGTCAGTGTCACTGTGTTCGGCTACCTTCTCGTGTTCCTCAGCGGAGAGGCTTGCTAGCTTGCGAGAAATGCTCTGCGCCAACAGCTGTGACGGGTATTCCACTACATGGTACGAAATGGTCGCAAGCATAATCACCAGAGCAAAGATGGAGAAGGTCCTATCGTAGTAGTTGGCTTGGTACTTGATGGGCTTGGTGAAGATGACGAACACGTGCAGCAGATAGACGGAGAAACTGATCTTGCCTAAGTAGCGAAGCACCACCCACTCGAAGATTTCAGCTACAATTGACGGCCGAATCATCTCGATAACAATCAATAGTGACAACTTGACGCTCGTGAACGGCATGATGTACCGAGTGTCAGGCGGTAGTGGCATTCCCAGCCAGTTGAAGAACAAACCGCGGAAAACAACACTAAGGTAGGCAGCAATCAGAACGGCTTCTGCAATTCGAAGTGCGATAACATGTAGAGTGAGGAATTTGAAGCCGCTAGACTTGATCCACATGTCCGTCTTTACGAAAATGACAGCAGCCATCGAGCCCGCAACAAACGTCGGAAGATGCGCGCTTAGAGGTTGACGATAGAAATTATCTCGAATCGTGTATAGACCCTCGTGGAAGACCCAGGCGTAGAGCGGGATGAAGGACAACCACCAGAACCGCCCAATCTTGAGTACAGCGAGAACGAACGCGGGTAGGATGAAGTAGTACGAGATCTCAAGGGGTAGAGTCCACAGCAAATAGTGTCGATGTTCCGGGTGAAAAGTGAGAGTTTGGAACAAGTTAAAGTCCTCGGGCTTCTTCACCAAATAGTACTGCTTCTTGTACTCGAATGGCATCAGCCACAGCGCGATTGACAAGACAGCGAAAAGGGGGTACACCCGAAAGAAACGTTTCGAAAAGTAGTCGATCAGCGTGAACCCCCACTTCCGATACGATGCTGCCTCGGCTATCATCTTGCTGCTTTTCTTCATAAAAATCATGGTCAACAGGAACGAAGATAGCACGAAAAAGGCATCCACACCGACGGCCCCCATGAAGATGTCGTGCATGTATCCAGAGTGCTGGGTCACCACAAATACGACCGCAGCCCCGCGTACTCCATCCAGGAACAGGATTTTGGTCACTGGCGACAAAGGGCGCTCGGCTGGCCTGTTCCGTGGGAATCCTTCTTCCGGTTTTGATACGTTCTCGTTGGTCGTTTTCATATTGAACGCCTTCTCTTGAATCGATACGTTCTCTTTAGTCCCGTCGTCCTCGACGACTTGGATTGCATGCATCATGGCGTCAGGCGTCTGCAGTAAAACGATAGCTACAACGCCAGGACAAGTCGTAGTCAAAGTTCTGACCAGAACGCCGAAAGTCGATGAATGAACACTGGCGGCAAGCACAAGTATAGTCAACGCAGGCGATGAGGAAAAGGCTGAACGCCTCTAATCAATGCAGGAAGGTTCAGATTTGCCGACAGCAATCATCTTGAGCGCTTAAGTAATTACGCGCGGAACAGCTCGGCAAACACGGTGAAAATACATGTACTGTACTTGTCTCGTCACCTGTTTTGCGGAATATACGGAGAGTTCAATTCCGAGATGCAAACAGCAGGGGGAAACGTGTGGCAGCCATTTAGTCTTTCATTATTGCAGTGCATGTATCATACAGCTGCTTATTTTTACTTTTATTAATACTTGATACCATTATGACTTCGTATTATTTAATAAAACAGACGAATTGATAGCCGCATTCTATAACTATATAGAGGAATCACAATTCGGAGCTGTACCCAAATACGGTACACACAGCACTGGTAGCCGGCGTTGAACTACGTAGTGAATCGACTGGTGCGGGCTTACGGTGGCAATTGTCAATTCCCCGCTCAACACTGCAATGCCGCTTATGCCTTCGCCCACTAAGACCCCACCCACGTTGCACAAAAGGCAAACGAATGGACTGCGACGATAGATCATTGAGCCAGGTCCAGTTTGGGTTGTGGGCTCAAAACGAGTTTCATCTTTATCACAGGCAACGATTAGAAAATCCTGAAACAGAGACACCTACTCAAAACCATAACATTGCAAGCTTTGTTTACAAAGTCGCGAGTTAGACTCAATGCTCACAAATTGGGTCAGCTGGCGAAAAACTAAATAATAAAAAGCGATTGCATTGGCAATGCGGATGGATCTGAACGTTTGCCACCACTGTTACCAATCTTCAATCGACCTTGACAGGATGGATTTTATCAATGGTTAATAATCTCTGAATAACAATATCTGTCATTTTCGTATTACTATTCACTGATGAGAGGGAAGAGATCAGTTTATCTTAAGTTTTTCTTCAGTTTTTTTCAGTTAGGGAGACCCTCTCAGCTACTATATTTGGACCGAATTTCTGTTGGAATCAGTACAAAGAGGATCGTCATCTACAGTTTATGGGGATAAGCTCTGTATTACTGCTAAGTATGACTATCAGCTTATAACACGTTGTGTTAAGATAGTAATGGAATACTTGCAACACAAGTTATTAATAAAAAGTAGTGATATTAATATGGTACGGTATGTAGTTTCATGGCCCACCTGGGTGTACCATCCGATGATTCATCGGTTGGTCCGATGATCACTGCTGGAATCCAGCCTGGCTCAATGGGTACCGTATTTCGCATGTAGAGAGATGCACCTAATGTTCACATAGCAAATCAAACCCGGATAAATATATATTCAAAAGACACAATCAAATTATGCGGGAACCTTTTTTCCTTTACAAAAAGTGTATTTACACGACGGCTACATGTACGTCAGCACTCACGTTGCCATCCTCCTCTGCGGTGAGCCATCTATCAAAATTGTGATCTTCGTCAGTACTTAACCCTACTAGCGATAGTCGCTGCAACTCCTCCACCAAAGACGCAGCCGCAAGGCAGTCGGTGTCGAGACGCAAGTCGCACTTCTTGTACCCGTAGCTTCTTCTGCACCGTGATGCCCTTGACCGTGTGTTTGGTCTGGTGGCGTCCCTTACCACCGACACGAGGTCTGCCCACTGGGCGAGGCTTCGTGCGTGACATGGCAAATGACCGACTGCCGGCGCAAATTTTGCCGCAAAGACTTGGTTGGCTTAGGAATGGTGCATGCGATTTCCTCAATTCAAGATAGCCGAATGTGATTGGTCAATATCTAGGTGCATTCTACATGCGAAATACGGTAATCCGGTTGCGGAGAGCCAGTGCCTAAAAGTGAGGTTTTCAATGCTAATACGCCGGTAAAGGTATTCTGGGGGTTGCAAACCCGGACCCCCGCTAAAAAAAAAAAAAGCTGGAGAGTGCAAGGGTCGCTGGGCCCACCTCACACCCGCTCACTACCGTCTTCCGAGTCAAATTGTATTAAAAATAATATTTTGTTTCTGCACCGGCGCTTCGCAACCGGCGCTCCGTAGATTATTGTCCCGGCCAAAAAGGCTTGGACGGAAATATAAAAAAGTCAGGTGGCCCAAATGAATTTGATAATATCTCGTCTTCCTGATGAGAGCTTAAGACGTGCTTACCCTCCTTTGTTAGATGCCTGTCTTAAGAAACTGCTCAGGCATGCAGCGCGTCTTACATGAGAGCGGTATAGTCTAAATTGAGCACGTAATTTATTATCTCTATAGCGAAAAGATGTAAGGTATAAGTCCTTACATACTTGACCTAAGCTCAGCGCAAATTTAAGTCCTCATATAATACCCCACTGAGCAGGTCCCAACCTTGGTACTACCGGTATTAGGTACAAGTACTTGTACCGGTATTATATTACATATGAGAACTGTACAGTACCGAGCCGAAAACCGTTCAAGATCTCTACCACTCCATGCCGAAGCGCCTACTTCAAGTTAAAGACAACCGAGGGGGTCACACGAGGTACTAAAGGTGCGTGAAAGCTTCAGATAGTGTTCGTATGGCTACTACTACAACATGGGATGCAAAAGTGTTAACAGCAGCTCTTAAAAGTTGAGAATAACAAAATAGACTTTCACTTTTTTTGCCATAATTTTACTTCTTTTTTGTTTGAGTGGGCTCAACTTCTACCAGCTTCTGTCAATCTGGTCAAATGATAGTTTGTTGGGAAGCCTTCACGTCAGGCATTCATATCATGCATAGTAACCAATCTAAATACCGTCAGGGACCAAACGCCGTGGGCCAACGTGCTCAAGGAGACGTTGGACGTAGACTTTCTGTACCCACTGTACATCTACTGTACATGTTGGAGAAAGTCCGCCAGAGCGAAATCCTGCGGACGATCGCTCGACAAAAGGGCCTGTTTCGTGCGACGTCAATAACAAATCAATAATTTGGAATTACTGTACATGGACAACGCGTTAAAAGCACTTAACTGTACTGCGAGAGCACTGTAAACTTGGGGAAACGCACAAAAATGTGTCTGAGCACTTTCAAACTTTGAGAAACACAGTAAGAAGCCAGAACTTGCATTAAGATGCTCGCTGGCACACTAATACCAGGTACCTCCACAAAGGTAAAAGAACAGCCTGCATTTTGTGCATGGCAGGCGCACTCGTGGCTTGAGTGTGCGCAGAGCAGCGCAATTCAGCCGCCCTAGGGTGGAGTCCAGCGTCCAATCAGATCGAGTCTCCGTTCATTCTCGCGAGCTTAGCGAAGCATGCCCCGGACGCTGCCCTGGAGAGAGCTGGGGTGTGAGCTCGGCGTCGACGAGGCCGACATCATCCTCGGCACGTTCAAGACCCACAGCACGGACAAGAGCAACACAATGCCCTGCACTGTGTGTCGTAGTGGTTACCACCACAGCATGCGTTACAGGCTGCTTAAATGCGAGTCGGCCACCTGCAGCAACACTACTTGCTCTTGGCGAGGCAAGGTGCTTGTCTGCTCTGAGTCCGGTGACGCCTACATTTATGAGCTGGGGGACCACCTCACTGGTGCATCCTCCCCGAAGCGCCCGAAGCTATCTAGGAAGCAGAAAGATTACTGCCGAGAGCTCTCACAACAAAGGCTGCGGCCACTCCGCATCCAGCAAGCCATGGCCCAGTAGTTTCATCTGCCTGCACCTGCCATCCCTCCTCTGAACAAAGTCCAAAGCTTCTGCAACTACTACAACCGCACCGAGCTGGACAATCACGACCGCGTCGACGACCTGACGCAGTGGATTTATGCGCGCGCGTTTACTGGCACGGAGGACGAGAACGAGACCTTTGCGTTCGCTTGGGACCTTGACACGGAGGGAAGGCCTGCTATGGGCGACGGTTCGGATGAAGAGCCTTTTGTGGTAGGTTTGACGACGAAGACGCTTGTGAGATGTGTTTTTTCCACGTTATGGCTAACGTGGAAAAGCGGTTGAAAGGATTTCCCTCACATGTAGCAGCAGCGTTAGTGCGTGGGCTTTACGACCTACACTTTGCCCGCGACCAAATTTCATATTCCTGGATGCTGGATCACTATTTGCAAACTTGGAGGAGATACCCGGACCTGGTGGATTTCTGCTCCTACTTTTGAGGGCAGTGGCTTCGCTCAACGGAAGAGCAGATAGCAGCGTCAGCGCAAATGGGCGCAAACTACGCACGGATGGAGGTGCAGGATCAGCCGCCCTACGGTTGGAGTGTTTATCTACGATCGCAATGGTGTCCTTGCAGCTACTGCTTCAAGTTCGGGACGTGCGTTCACCTACTGTTTGCTCAATGGGCTTCCGATCGACTTGATGGAGCAGGGAGGCGATTGCTGGTGAATCGCCGAGTAACTGGGAAGCGCAGGAGGGATACGCTCGGAGGAAGGCCTCGTCTAATCGGTCCAGCGCTGTCTTTGTAGTGAAGTAGTGTGTCCGGCACTTGCATGCAGCTCTACATCAACTCATAAAAGCCTATAGTGTACTTATAATACATGGGGGGGGGAACAGTATATGTGAGTACTTAGTTTCGAATACGTTTGCGAGTCCAGGACACGCTGCAAGCACATTCAGGTCCCGGATTCGCATAATACACATATCAGTACACTTTTAAAAGGCACTGCAAGCGAGGATATTGTAACCAACACAAATATAGCTCCAGCATTCGCACGTTT